CTCTTGCTCAGCATTCACAAAACCCATCACGGTGGTTTCCAGGAAATGGCTCTCTCATGTATTGTATGTTAAATGGCCCCGATCAGCTTTCCAACTCTTGACAGGGGTTAGAAATATATTGGTCGATCCTTTCTATAAACCAGTCAGAACCGAAGGCGAGGCTTCCAATCCAGGCCATTTTATTTCACAGTCAGCGTTACCGACTCATGAGAACAATATAGAAATTGTGTACAGTTTGGCACATATAAGCTCGGATTCTCTCACTGCCGAGGTACACGCGGTTAAAGAATATGTAAATACTGAAGCAAAAAGCAGTGTGTCTGTCAAGACAATTTATCTATTTAAAATGTATTGGTACTTTATTTAGATTCAATGTATAAAGCAACTTTGTGCACTTTTCCTACTTACATTATTGGGGGTTTTTTTATGTTCTTTTGTTATGGATTTTGTGCTGTCTTTTTTAATTGGTGAAATTTGTTAAGTATTTAATTTATTATTGATACGCCCAGAGGACTAGTGCAATTTTTATTCAATACAGTTTGGCTGTATTTAATGTCAGGATTTTTTTTTAACGTGGCTAGGGCATTTTTTTTTTAAAAATCCGCCTCTTCTTTCCCCCCCGTCTTTTTTTTTCTTTTCCTTTTCTTTTTTTTTTCATTACACAGATTGTGAGGCACGTGACGCCTTGCAGCTTGAAAGACAGTATAACGCTAAACAAATCCTTGAGTTTCTACAACAAAAAGTTCTCCAGGAAAAAGAAATGTCTAAGAGGCATTTATCATTTTTTTCCCCACGTTTATGTATTTATTTTTTGGAGTGTGTGTGTGTGTGTGTGTGTGTGTGTGTGTGCGTGTGCGCGCGCGCACAAATTTGGAGATTTGGGAGGGTCAGGGCAGAGGGAAAATTGTACATAAAGTTTGTTTTCAGCAAAGCAAAAGGCTAGTCAGGCTACAGGGAAGTCTAGACATTAAGTCACTTAGGTTTCTTTCTTCTTTAAATAGGGATGTATTTCTCTCTGTTGTACAATCCTGTTGGCACTATCTGATGCCAAAATGTCTCCCTTTTCGTTCTTCCTTATAACTCTTCTTTTCAAAGACTTTATATGTTACCTAATACCTACCTGACAGTAACTTGGTTGCAACTACAATTAATACTAATATTCATTAATAGATTTGCCTTTGTCT